AATCGTACCTTCAGAAAAAACTAAGCCCAAAAGATATACTATATTGCAAAGATTGCACTATACTGAATCTGTCTTAATAATGATCTTAAAAAATTGATTAAGTCAATTTATTTTAGTAAAGTATTTTTTCCTCCATCTTTCTGCTGGATCGTTCTCGTCGATTGTCTTTAATTTAAAAATAATCTATGTAAATAAGTTATGTTTTTCTACGAGTAAATTAATAAAAATAACAAAGAAATTTGTATTATTTTGCAGTTTATTTCGATATCAACTGAAAATTCAAATGAATTAATTGAATTTTTAAACTCTTTAAATTAAAATTAATCTAAAATAGGTTCATAATTTTCGTTTTTATATTCACTCGCAATTTGATTAAATATTTTGCCTTTCAATTAATTATTTAAATAATTTTTACTTTGTTATAATTCATACGCCACAGAAAATTCTAAACAAAGAAATTCTCTTTAAAAACAAAAAAATGCATCGACTTATGCACATCTTAGTAAAGGTAATCGAAGTTTTTTCGTTGCTAAGAAATCACCGAGACTTGCTACATCTTCATTAGCTTACACAACAAAAGTTCTGTTTGTTAATTGCTTTTCTTGTTTTCGTTATCTAACCTTCTTAACTAAATTAACTATTTTATTACTTAACATTATTAACTAAATAGTTAAGTTTCTGATAATATTACATGCAATATTAATCTGCTTACTCTACTAAAAATATGGAAATATAAAATCGATTAAATAAACAAAACATGTAATTAATGGTTCATATATGAATAATAATCAATACTGTACTATTATGTTTTAGTGTTGTAATTATTAAATGATGAAGCAAGCAGCAACTACAATAGAAGCCATGGAAATTGCGTCACTCAAAATCCTATAAAAAATGTGCGTATTATTATTATTCTTTTAACAAAAGTATCATTTCATTGCAGGCTTTAAAGAACCCGTAAAGATCGTATCATACATGACATTATAAACATGAGAATGTTTCTGATTGGACGATAACAGTTTACTGCAACAATGTTTCCGATAATTGTATAATTTAGATATAAAAAGCCGTGCTAAGATACTTTTTACATGCAAACGAAAAAGTTTTCGACAGTTAACATAAGTAAAAAGTCCATAATTGTTGCTGAAGGTTTAATTAATTAATCAATAATCATACGTTTGTTATAAAGGAGACGTAAACATAGCAACATTAAAAAATTGAATCTGGAGGTAATGTGAGAACACCGTGCCGGAATAGAATGCTGAAGTGTCTCAGTCTGAGAGAACGTACTGCTAATTCTTCCAAACTAAAAGCGAAAAAGTAGACAGATGTAAATGCAAATTCACAAATTGTGCGATGTCACAGTGAATCACAATGCCACTCGGACTGAACGAACTCGAGATGCAAATTGAATTTTTAGTTTCTTTGGATATGTAAGTTTAATGTGTTCATTAAAAATTTGGATATTCTTCAGAGGCATTGTAAGCAGTAGCAGCCTGTACATAAAACAGTTTCTGAAATTTATCTGAATTTGCTTTTTAGTCACTAGCATGTTAACTTTTCTGCATCTTTTCTTCCGACATCTTCGGAAATATTTATTCTTTTCCTCCTAGGCATATATGCATCGTATCCCGATGACGATTAATGTTAGTTTGATTATCCATGGACAAGGATTTCATGTACAGGTGGAGCCATAGGGTACAGGTAGCTTTGTACTGTATATGCTATACAGCAAGACTAGAAATAGTCTTGCTGTATATGCATATACAGCAAGACTATTTCTAGACTCCAGTTCAACACAAATTCACATTTAAACCTGAATATAAAAAGAAGCAATAATGGAACAACGATCGCCCAAGTGCTACATTGCCTTAGTTTTATCAATGCAATCTAATCCAATTCAACTCTGACCAGTCGCGTTCTTCTTTAGTCAATCGCTAATATAGCTCAAGGTGGCAAGACGTGTAATTTTTAATACGTTGTTCAGAGCATATGTACTGTACAAAAAACATGAAAACAGGATCTCACAGAACATATTGTACATCATAAACTTTTATGGTTATGTTTCCTCCGTTAAGAGTGTTGATAAATTTGCCAATACTCCAAGATACTGTGGTTCTTAGAAAATACTTTTTTTAAATTTGAGTTTCATGGGTACTTTCATGACGTAACTCATTTTTATACAAATCTTAGTTATTGCCGCTATAAAGCAATGCTTTCACTTATTACCCAAAACGCTTACTCAAGATATTTAAACAATTGTACGTATTCAAAAAACTATAGCTCTCGATTTTCAAATGTTTCTTAGTGTCCTAAATATTGCTGAATTAAATGAGTTTTCAGTCTTGTCCAGGTTCGGTTTATTTGTTTAGGGCAACGTGACAAGTGGGCGATCCGTCGAGAGGAGTGCCTCCCGGAGGACTTTTTTTTATGGAAAATGGCTCCTATTGTGATGTTACTAATGTGAAGAAAATCCGAAAAGTTTGAAGTGGCCAGCCCGTTGGCAATGCGCAAACCCACATCCAACTACTAGTGTTCAGCGGTTTTATCCACTTGATCACTGAAAGGATTTTTAGTCTTTCTGTCTACATAAAATCTTGTAACTCGATGTTTTATCCACTTGCCAATTAAATTATTAAACTAAGAATAATTTCGATACTTCAGTCTATAAAACTAAAAAGTAGAAAATAAAAAATATTTTTAAAAATTTAAAGAAACGTTTTCTATTCACATAAATGCACTAACAAGTAAAAAATAAATTATTTCTGTTTTCACAGCATTCTTAGTATTATGCAACCAAAAATGAAAGCGTGCGCGTTCATGGAAAGCCCATAAAAATTGATAGAAAGTGTAACTAAGAATATATCTAAACAAGGGGCGCTTATGTTTAGATATATTCTTAGTTACACTTTCTATCAATTTTTGGTTTACGTTTTTAATTTTGGTCGCAAAATACTGTGAAAGCTGAGAAAAAAAAAATTATTTTTTACTTTCTACTTCATTTATGTGAATAAAAAGCGTTCTTTAAACTTTTTTTTATATTTTTATTGTTATAGCTTTTACGGCGTGGATTCGTCCACGCCGTAAAAGCTATAACAATAAAAATATGATGGAGCCCGTTTCTTATGCATAAAGTCTGAAAAATATGACAAACATATGGAATGAACTTGACTAAGTAGCACAACGTAGCCCAGTATGATCGGCTTCAAATGGCAATTAATGGCTATTAACTCTCCTTAAGTTGAGGAAAGTTAACTGCCCAAAATCGATCGATTCCTGAATGGCTAAGTTATCGCACAATCTACGAGTGCAGTTTAGTATCACCGCAAACGACATTCGTTTACAATTAAATTAATTACATATCTTCGCAATGAGAGCAAGGCGGCATGAAATCTGTTAGGTCCGGATGAGACACGAACCTTACAAACCCGCAAAAGTTTTCTGCGGTCTCTTCGAGAGATTAATTAACCGCGTTAATCAAGGGATACCTGTATCTTTCACAAGGCCAGAGAGCCGAGGCAGTTAACACTTAACTGCCACGTCTATTAGATTTTAAAAAACTGCACGTTTACTACATTTAAGAAGTAGTAGGTTAACATGCTAACCTACTTACTGTTTTTAAACTCTTTCCGCCCTGTGGGCACCAAGAGAGCCTCCTTTTAGCAAGCCCATTAACAATTCGACCAGGCCCACAACAGTATTGCCGGGTGGTGAAGGGACTAGGCCGACATATGCGGACGAGTCACCCCGAAAAATTCGGGATTTTTGACGCGTCCAGATTCCATCCGGGTCCCCCAAAGCGGTAGTTGACACCTTAACCGCTCGGCCGTCCGACCTGTGTCAATTTCTACTATGGAGCTCAAGATCGAATTCGGAAAATACAAATAATTTTTCATGGGTGATCTCTTCCGGATAAGTCTATCCGTTCGTACATAATCCGGCCACCCCCTTTGAGGGCCTGATCGAACCCACAATGGCTGTGTAAAAAAGCCGTCTCAGTATTCTCAGTGGTAGAAAAAGTAAAAACAAACACTATTTAAAGTGATAAATTTAATACTATTATTATTATTTATGTATTTTTTATCGTTCTTGCATATGAATGGTGAATGATGACACTCAAACTTATCCTAAAATGCAGCGCAATATTTAAATTTAATTTGCTAAAGAATATATAACAACTTCATCTAAATTTTGTGATTTATTATATAATTCAAAATGACAACGATATCAATTTTCTCACAATATCAAATTTTAATTGATTAAGGTTATGACTTAACGCCAATGCAAATAGTTATTTTAAATTCCATTTCATAGCCATCAATCAAAGTAAATTTATTTGAAAGATTAAATTTGTGTGAATTAAATATTTACGTCATTACATCTTTAAATATGTAACAGTATGTCAAATATCAGCTTTTAAATCAAATAAAAATTAAATATTTATATTATTAACTATATTACATTAAATAACATATTATAATTATAAACAGATGTAACAACAAATCAATGTAAAGTATTAAAAATTTAAATTAAAGCAAAAAATATGTATTAGAAATTGCAAGTGAAAAGATTATTTTGTTTATATAGTTTCATTTAAAATGTTATCTGAAAGATTTCGAGTTGTATTTGCTAAATAAATAATGAAATTGTGTCAGTTTTAAATTTAAACTAACTCTAGAAAAATAGAAATTAATAATATAATTCTAATTTTCGTTAAAGAATAATTAAACATTGTTAAACAAGTTAAAATATCCATTTTATTTTGCAGCATTTCTTAAAATAAGAACGAAGACGATGTGCTGGATCATGAATATGTATTACTTACTCGCTGCCGTAGCTAAGCAATGAAAATTCTTCAAAAAGATGTTTAACTTTTTCCTAAAATTCAATAATTCATATCATATGACGTCGTGTAACGTTTACTGCCTTTTATAGTTTCAAATTTCTCGCAAAAATGTCGGAAATTTCAAATATATTATAACAATTTAATTTTCTAATAGGCCGATATGCTCAATACAATGGCATAAATATGATTTTGCTGTGGGATGATCTGGGAGGATGATGTAAAAAGTTTAATCAGAATAAAGAAAATTAAGCATCCTTTATCCTTCGCTGCCGACAAATGAACGTCCCTTATATTTTCGCCAGACAAAGATTCTAGAATGTTCCCGATAAATCTAGAAGGAAGCTTCGAGAACAAACTCGATATCCGAACTATGATCTTTCTTCTAGAATAGGGGTCGGCAACCTGTGAGGACCCAAAAATGAGTCAAAATTAAATAATTATTATTAGAAATTTATTAAAACGAAACTAAAAAAAAAATCGTCTATTGTTAAAAACCGATCAAAGATCGAATTAGGTGTGTTAGTCATATGAAACCGCGACGAGAGAAAAAAACTTTATTGATGTAAACCGAATGTAATATTTTTAAATGGTTAATTAATAATTGTAAGCAAACGGTCTCCAGTAGAGATGGACCTTTGAAAAGTCGTTCATATGCACATAATTAGAACATAGAAATTTGGAAAAGAGGAAAGATTAATGACGAGAAAGGACATCGCGTCGTGTCGTTAAATTTCAAAAAACGTCACAGACTAGACAACAATGGTGGAAAATATGAGCGCAAGTTTCAAAGTTCCATCAACATTTTGCAGCCAGAATAACGGATGGTGTCAAGTAGATTCTTCAAGGCGGATCTTTCTCGTGACTCGAAAAGGAATCGTTTTTCGCTTAGAAACAGACGAGGGAGCCAATCAGAAAACAAATTGGAGAACGGAGATTGATATAATCCCCGATCTTCAAGGACAAAGGAACTTCTTCCGTAAACTGTGCTACTGAGTACTTACACTCCAAAAAGTCCTGAGCGAAAACTCTCTGTGTGTGTCGACGCACAGAAACGCAGAGTCCGCACAAGTGTCCATCGAAAGAGCCATGCCACCGACACCTCCCGACAAGTCTCCTTACTTGCCGCAGCCCCGGGACCCATCTCCGAGTGACGAGAGACAAACGTCCACGACGTCCAAACAGTCGACTGTATCTAGATAATTCTAGTTCCTAGGTGTAAGTTTAATTTTATGTATAAAATAAACGGGTTTTTGTTAGATTCTTGTCATCTGTGTCTCCTCCACCACACCCACACGCGTTCTACCCTAGATCATTCTGACGCGGGATTAACGATTCCCCCCGGAAGTCGGCGAACTTACACTGGTGTCCGAGAGTGGGATAAAAAGTTTCCAATCTCCACCAGGTCAGCGAACTTACA